GCCGAGCAATGTCACTCTGCCAGCCTCTTCCTGACTCGGCCTCCTCCTCCCCCTCACAGATATTTCTGTGATCACAGCCTCCTCCTCTGAGGAGGAAAGGCAGAGATGGAAGGGAAGATGGATCATTAAGACGGAATGATGCTTAGTTGGGTGAGGGAGGGTGAAAAAGGAGGGGGAGGAGGAAAAGCAGGAGAAATTGATGGGAGCAGAGAGGGGGAGGGGAAGACGGGGTGCACAGAAGGAAGCCATGGGAACTGAAGGAGAGAAGGGTGGGTGGGAGTAGGGAGGAAGGTGAGGTGCAGAGATGGTTTGAGGTTATGGGCCACAGAGACCCAGAAATCCTGCCAGGAAGAGAAAGAGGCTGGGCCTCTCCTGCTGCTCTCCCTCAAGCTGATGGCCCACGCTGCATCTCTGAAACTGTCTCTAACACCTTGGACCCTCCAGACTCTCCCAAGGGTGGCTGAGTGCCACCCATATCCAGGACCCATCTTCCAGCCCGCTCCCAACATGCACGCTCCCCTGCCCTGGCAGCATCTCACTCCGCCCCACAGCCCTTCCTCCATCCCCAGCCTGCATTCCCAGCCCCAGGGCTAAGCAGGACCCCTTCCTCCCAGCCCTGAGGTACTGGGAAGACCTGGTAGAAACCCCTAAGCCAACCAGTGGCCTTTTAAAAGCCTGTTTCCATAAATAGACATGTGGCGAGATGAAATGCTCAAGGCTGACCAGCTCTCATGTTGCGACCCCAGAGGAACTAGGGCCTCGGGACCTATGCCCAGCTCCCTTCCCTTTGCAGGGAAGCTGGAGGCTGGACTGGAGTGGGAAGCCAAGGCTAAGTGGGGCTGGGCAAGGAAAAGGGAAGAGGTCCAAGGCACCCATCTGATTCATTCTCATCACTTCCTTTAGCTTCAAACATTGAGGGGCCTCCACCTCCAGGCCAGCTCTGGTAGGGAGGAAGGGGCAGTGACCCAAGAGGGCAGCATCCCAGAAGCAAATCCCCAAAATGCAGGCCGTTCTCCAAGCAATCAGGAAAACGGGCCTGCAAGAGGCTTGCTTAGGAGCCGAGCGGTTTTGAAAGCAGGAACAGAGGCAGGGTTTGTACATGTCACGTTCAAACCAAAAGAATGTGCTTTCCAGAAAGTGGGGGGATTAGAACAGACACATTTCTGGCTTGAGAGGCCCCTGGGTCATCTGCCTTAGAGGTAAGGCGCTGGCCTAAACGGCCCATGAAGACTCCTCCAGCCTTTCACTTCAGGGCTCCGTGGGAGTGCTTTGCTTTCATCTTCAAACAAACGAAGTGAAAAATAAACTGAACATGTGCCGGGTGAGGCACCCCTCTTATAAGCTTGTAATCCTCATCGTGATAGGGTTTGATGATTAGTGTTTGTCCCCACAACTAGAACAGATTTCAAGAGGGCAGGTGCTGTCGGTTTCATTCACCACCACATCCACAGCCTAGAACAGCTGCTGCACAAAGCAGGTGTCAACACATGTCACCAAGCAAATGAATTCACAGGATAAAAAGCTCAGGACTGTCACACTCAAGAACTGACTCTGAAAGGCATGAGAAAACAGGCAACCAGCTGAACAGGTGTGGAGCCCCAGGCTCCCTGAAGCACTGTGTTCACTCCATTCCTTCCATAAATACGTACTGAGCACCTACGATGTGCCAAGTGCCCCTAAGTCCTGGGACCACAGTGGAAAACAGGCCAGGCGCAGTGGCTCACGCCTGTAATCCTAGCACTTCAGGAGGCCAACGCAGGTGGATTGCCTGAGCTCAGGAGTTCAAGATCAGCCTGAGCAACACAGTGAAACCCCGTCTCTACTAAAAAACAAATAATTAGCCCGACGTGGTGGCATGCACCTGTAGTCCCAGCTGTTTGGGAGGCTGAGGCAGGAGAATTGCTTGAACCTGGGAGGCAGAGGTTATGGTGAGCTGAGATCACGCCCCTGCACTGTAGCCTGGGTGACAGAGTGAGACTCCCTCCCGCCAAAAAAAAAAAAAAAGAAAAGAAAAGAAAACAGAAAGACAAGTTCCCACCCTCACAGAGTTTACATTCTAGAAGAGGGAAATAAGCAAACAGTAAATAAAATGGTTGGCACAGAACACGTCACGGGGTAGGAGGTGCTGCCGAGAGAAATCTTAGGGAAAGAGGACCGCAGAGGACCTCAGGAGGGTGGCAGGTGCTACTCTTGAGAGAGGGATTAGGGGAGGCAATTGAACAGAGACTGGAAGGACATGATGGAAATTAGGGGGAGAATCGGAGGGAGACCGAAGAAAGGGCACCCCAGGCAGAAGGAACCACAAGTGAGGCAGAATGTGCTTGGTGCGTTCAAGGAACAGTAAGGAAGCTAGTGTGGCTGAAAGAGAGGAAACGGGGATTACAGAAGGAGAGGAGGCCAGGTAGGGCAGAGGGCCAGGTGACATGAGACACAGGGCCACCAGAGCAGAGGAATGACTCGGCAGGAACTGCATTACAAAGCGATCATTGGGGCCATGGTGGAAGGTTGAAAGAGCAAGAATGGAATCGGGAAGTCAGTTAGGATCCCGCACGGTGGCTCACACCTGGAATCCCAGCACTTTGGGAGGCAGAGGCGGGCAAATCACTTGAGGTCAGGAGTTCGAGACCAGCCTGGCCAACATGGCAAAATCCCATCTCTGTTAAACATACAAAAATTAGCCAGGCATGGTGGCACGTGCCTGTAATTCCAGCTACTTAGGAGGCTGAGGCATGAGAATCACTTGAATCCAAGAGGCCGAGGTTGCAGTGAGCCAAGATCATGCCACTTCACTCCAGCCTAGGTGACAGAGTAAGACTCTGTCTCAAAAACAAACCAAAAAAAGGAAGTCAGGAGCAACTAACTCCTCGAGCTCCCTAGTAGCTGGAATTGTAGGCGCTCACCCCCATGCCTGGCTTTCTTAGTATTTTCTTTAAATCATCTCTAGGAGTAACTAGCACCGGCTGCAATAACCCAGGCAGCAGATGAAGGGGCTCAGTCCAGGGGAGTGGCAGCGGAGCGATGAGGAGTGGCCAGGGCCGGTGAGAAGCAGAGAGGTACACAGGCTGCCTCCAACACCACTGGCCTGAGCAACCGGAAGAATGGGCTTGCCATTACGTGATATGAGGAAGACTATGGGGCAACTAGGTCTGGGGCCTGGAAAATCCGGAGTTCTGCTGGGGACGCGTCAAGGAAGCAGCCCGGGTAGGAAGTCATCAGCGCGTGGGTGGTATTCTCAGTTATGAGACAAGATAAGGAGCAAATGTGGAAAAAGGATGAGATGCTTCAAGGACTGAGGCCCAAGGATGCCACCGCTGAGGTGGATCAGGAGGAACAAATGGAGGCGACCAGAAGGCACAGAGAAGAAAGGGGGCAAGGTGTGGGGTCTCTGAACACAGATTTCCAGAGCATCACTGCCCACAGGCAGCACACCAGCACAGAACGATGGCCCCAGCCAGATCCAGGTTTGAACCTCACTTACCAGCTGTGCAATCTTGGGCAAGTAACCCCCACTCTCTCCGAGCCTTAGATTCCTCACCTGTCTAACAGGGGTGATGGTAGGACTTGCCTCATTGGGTGTTTGGGGGTTAATAAGCTTATTGCAGTGCCTGGTGTAGTGTGAGTGTTCACAGATCGTGGGGCTGCGGCTGTCAGCACCTGGGAGACTCCTGCCCAGGTTCCAAGGCCACAGACACAGATTCTATCCTAGTACCAGCCAGTGAGATTCATGGAAAGAAAATCTGTGTGGTACTGGCACTGCTGGAACCAGGAATCCTGATCTCTTCCGCCCCAGCTTCACCCAGACCAGCCAACTTCTCACATCCTTAGTCACGAGAGCAGAACTTCCTGAAGTGTGGGAATGGAGACTATTTTAGATGGTAAAGGGACACGCCATAAAATGAATGAATCACAGAGTGAGCACGTCGGCCCTTTACAGCTCTCTTCCAGCTCTTCTAGGTGCATCAAGAGTAAGTCCCACGTTGATGCTGCCATGTTTGTAATACCTTCTAGCATGCTACAAAGAGAAAGCAAGCCCTAGGCTCAACACCTCAACCTCACCAAGCTGCACTTCCGGGACAGGGGCGGGGCTTCTTCAACTTCACTGAAGTAGTGTTTGTGATCGCCTTCTATTTATAGCAAGGGATACAGATCTTCCATTTCTAGAAGAGATACGAAGTTTTCTTTCTAAACAAATTAATGGAAGTAAAAAGATTAAAGAGATGATTTAAAGAAAATGCTAAGAAAGCCAGGCAGAGGGGCAACTGGCAATTCCCAACTACCCGGGAGGCTGAAGCAGGAGAATTGCTTGAGCCCAGTAACTCAAGACCAGCCTGGGCAACTAGTGAGGCCCTGTGTCTAATAAATAAATAAATGAAGTGCTAAGTGCATGTGGAGGTGGTGGTGGGAGAGGCAGTAAGGTAGATATCCCAGGCAGTTCTTGAATGCCTGAAGCTTGTGAAATGCTCCTTTTTAAGAACCCAGGGACTCCTGTAACCCCAGAACTTTGGGAGGCCGAGACAGGAGGATCACTTGAGCCTAGAGTTCAGTGAGCTATGATTCCAGCTCTCCAGGCTGAAATGAGCTGTGATCGTATCTAGGCTGCAGTGAGCTATGATCACGCCACTGCATTCCAGCCCTCCAGTCAGGGTGACAGAGCAAGACCCTGTCTCTTAAAAAACAACAATAACAACAACAACAACAACAACAAAAGAACCCAGCGCGACGATGCTACCAGGCAAAGATGGAGAGTTGGGCCATCATAAATTTCCGGTTGTACACGGTACCTCGGAGAAGCCTGCCCCTCATCCTGAGGGAGCTATCCTGTGGTAGGTGGGTCAGGCACTGAGTATGGAGTTCAGAAGAAAGGTGGGCGCTCACAACAGCCACGCAGGACCATGAGCAAATGTGTGCTAAGTGGAGGTGCCCAGGGGATCCCCAGGGACTGCTGGACTGCTCATCCCTCTCCATCCCACAGCCCGGGTCTCCCTGCGCATCCCGCGTACCTGCAGCGTCTCCGAGGCCTGGCTGGCCATGCCGGTGGTGAGGGAGGCCACCTGCACGGCCTGCTTGCGGGCAGCCAGCAAGATCCTGCAGTAGGTGAAGCATATGGCACCCGAGGGCAGGAAGAAGGTGAGGCCCGACGCCACGAGGACGAAGGGCAGGCTGGCCAGCAGACGGCACTGGCCCGGGACGGGTGGCCGCGCGTGTCCCAGCTCATGCCAGCCCAGCAGCAGGGGCAAGAAGGAGGCGAGCGCGGCGAGGCTCCAGGCGCCCAGGACGAGCGCCAGGGCGCGCGGGGGCGTCATGCGCAGCTTGTAGCGCAGCGGCGAGAGGATGAGCAGGTAGCGGTCCAGGCTGATGAGGCAGAGGTTGAGGATGGAGGCGCTGCAGCACATCACGTCGAAGGCGGTCCAGAGCAAGCAGAGGCCGCGCGCCAGCACCCAGCGCCCGTACAGCGCGTTCAGCATGGCGGGCGGCATCACCACCAGCCCCACCATCAGGTCGGACGTGAAGAGCGACACCAGGAAGAAGTTGGACGTGTTGCGCAGCGCGGGCTGAGTGCAGATGAGCGCGATCAGCAGCGAGTTGGCCGCCGCCGTCAGCGCGATGACCACGCACAGCGCGGCCGCCACCCAGCCGCTACCCCCCGGGGCAGACGGCAGCCCTGCGTCCCAGGCCGGGGTGCTGTTGGCGGTGGGGCCCGGCTCTGGGACCATGGGGACCGGGGGTCGAGGGCGAGGGCGTGATCGGGTGGCGGGAAGGCAGGCGCGGGGCGCGGCGAAGCACAGACGGGACAGGCACTGTCAGTGAGAACAGACCACGACTCACCACGCCCCCCGGGGGAGGTGGGTCTGGGGACGTGGGCGGAGGCGCTGGGTCCCGCTAGGTCAGCGGGCAGCGACCACAGCAGGGCGCAGAGTGACTATTGGGGCGCCCTCGGGGGTAGGGCAGGGACACCTGGAGCAAACTAGTTGGAAGTTTGGGGAGGGGCACCCGATGAGCCGAGGCCCCTAAAGGAAGAGGCAGGAGGAAGCCTGGGCGCCGTGGGGTGGGAGCAGAGCCTCCTGAAGGGGGCTGGCGGCAAGATAGGGGAGGGGAGTCCGGCCAGGGGCAGAGCTTGGGAGGTGAGAGCTGGGGTTGAATGAGCGCTCTCGGGCAGGAGCAGGCTCCCCGCGGTTGGTGGGCGTTTGGGCGCCAGGGCGGGTACGCAGGGTGGCGGCCTAGGGGCGGGAGCAAAGACCCCCGGGGAAAGGCAGGTCTCAGGATCTGGCGCACCGGGATCTGGCGCACACGGCCAGTGCAGCACGCGGGTTCGCTGGGGCCGCCAGGCCTCGCGGGCAGAGGAGGGCAGCAGCCGCGCGGCGCCCCCCTCCCCACCCGGCCGCAGGGTCGCCTCCGCCTCCCGCCCTCACTGGTACCTGGGGCGATCGGGCTGCTTCGCCGCCTGCGACTGCGGCAAGCGCCGCGGTGCTGCAAAAGGAAGAGGCGGCCGCTGGCCGGGCGGGAGGCGGGCCAGGGGCTCCCGAGCCCGGGAGACGCCGCGAGGGGCCCTCACGCATGGAAGAGCGGCAGGGTGCAGCCTGGAGCGCGCGGTCCCCGCGCCGCGGAACGTGCGCCCCGCCTCGCGGTGGGCGGGGAGAGCCGAGCCCGGGCCCTGCAGGCGGGCGGGTTCCCGGTACCCCGGGCCTGTGGGCCGAAGATCCGAGCGCTCCAACTGCGCGAGGTTGCCTACCCGGCTGTGGCAGCCCCCATACCCCCGGATGCCCCTCCCAGCCCAAACGGGGCGGCGGCGCAGACAGAACTCGGAACAGGGGGTTGTGACCTGCCTTTATCCATGGACTGCTTGCTCACTGATGCGTGCCTGTCCACTCACAGCGGGGTCACCAGGCATTCAGGGGAGCCAGGAGTTGGACAATATTGGACAAATCGCCTTACACCCCTCTGGGCCTCAGTTGCTATATCTGTAAAATAGCATTCTTTTTTACAAAAAAGAAAAAAAAAAAAAAAAAGGAGGGTTAGTAATTCTGGGCATTCTTCCCCGCTAGTTTAAGCAAGAGGCTAACCTTCCCCCCGGGTCTTTTCTGCAGAAACCCTCCCGATCCCCGAAGAGGCCAGGTACTGTGGATGAAGTCCCTGAGCTGGTGGCACTCCTAGTCTAAAAGAGCATGAACAGATTTGAGAATACCCAGGTCAGGTGGGTTAGAGTCACTGCAGGCAGAGGCGTGGGCTGTGGTGTCCCCTGGGTGTGGCCTCCCTCTGTATCTCTCCCCTCTGGCTAAGAGTCTCTGCCTAACCCTACTGTGCAGGTTGATACTGTGGACTCCATTCATTCACTCATTCAACAGATATTTATGGAGCACCCACTAGATGTCAGGCACTGTTTTGACCCATCAGGACACTACAGTGGTCAAAATAGATCTGCACCTCCATGGAGTTTACATTCTGGTGGAAGGAAACAGAAAATAAATACATAATCAACATGCAAAGTCAGCCAGGAGCAGCTCACACCTGTAATCCCAGCACTTTGGGAGGCCAAGGCCGGCGAATCACCTGAGGTCAGGATTTGGAGACCAGCCTGACCAACACAGTGAAACCCATTTCTATCAAAAATACAAAAACTCACCGGGCATGGTCGTGGGTGCCTGTAGTCCCAGCCACTCGGCAAAAGGAAGAGAATTCAGTTCTCTTGAATTGCTTGAACCTGGGAGGCAGAGGTTGCAGTGAGCAGAGACAGAGCCACTGCACTCCAGCCTGGGTGACAGAGCAAGACTCCAAAAAACAGAAAGAAGAAAATGCAGTATAAAGAGAATGGGGTGAGGGATCATTTTTCCTTCACAGAAACAGAAAAATAATCCTTTCCACATTGAAGGCTGCTGTTATGTCCCCAGGGGCTTTGTTCTATGATTCCTACTCCTCCAGTTTATTCAGACCCCTACAAGAATACTGAGAGGTAGATGTTAAACTGTGGTTCAGCCAGGCACAGTGGCTGACTCAGGTAATCCCAGCACTTTGGGAGGCCGATGCAGGGGGATCACCTGAGGTCAGGCGTTCGAGACCAGTCTGACCAACATGGTGAAACCCCATCTCCGCTAAAAATACAAAATTTAGCGGGGAGTGGTGGCATAAGCCTGTAATCCTGAGGCTGAGGCACGAGAGTTGCTTGAACCCGGGAGGCAGAGGTTGCAGTGAGTCGAGATTGTGGTACTGCACTCCAGCCTGGACAACAGAGTGAGACTCCGTCTCAAAAAAAAAAAAAAAAAAAAAAAAAAAACTGGGCTTCAGAGAGGCCAAGGGCCTTGCCCCAGATTACCAGCAACAAGTGGTGAAGTGGGAACCGAAACCCAGATCTGCTTGATGCCCATGGCAAAGAGAACCCATTACAGATGGTCAGAAACCTCCCCGCAGGTACCTCACAGCCTCCAGCACGCCACCACCCCCGCCCCACCGACAACTCTAAGCTGCTGTTTGGTGCTCAGAGCCTCAGTCTTGCCCATAGGCACATCTTTTAAGCAGAAGAGGGGGCCTGTCCTTCCTCCTTGCCACCACACTGCACCACTGTGACAATTTCTGCCATGACCCCAAGGAACAGGGTGTAGTACACCAAGCCTGGGCAGAGAGTCAAAAGGACCTGGATTGGGACCCCAGCTCCATCCCAGCTCTGGGATCCAGGGCCAGTGGCTCCATCTCTTCAAGTCACATTTTTCTCTTCTGCAATAGTTAGCAGAACAATACAGCAACCACCTCACAGAGTTGCTGAGGGGATGAAATGACACTGATGTAATCTGTGTCTTTGGTACTACGTTAACACTAGGTGGCCAGGTGTGGTGGCTCACGCCTGTAATCCCAGCACTTTGGGGATCACCTGAGATCAGGAGTTCAAGACCAGCCTGGTCAACATAGTGAAACCCTGTTTCTACTAAAATAAAAATTAGCCAGGTGTAGTGGAGTAATCCAAGCTACTCAGGAGGCTGAGGCAGGAGAATCACTTGAACCCAGGAGACGGAGGTTGCAGTGAGCCGAGGTTGTGCCACTGCACTCCAGCCTCGGTAAAAAGAGCGAAACTGCATCTCAAAAACAAAAATAAACAAAGGGCTAGCTCTTGGCCTTAGTGTTCCCATCTGTACAATGATAATACATTCAGCTCTGTGCTTATTCCTTAAGCCCAGGGATTCCTGACATGGACGACTGTCACCCTGAGAGGTGCTGTGTGGAAGAATTTTGGAGTTCAGCAACCTGAGTTCATCATCCAGAGTCTGCCACTTGCTCTGTGAGGTTGTGCAAAGCCTCTGAAATACTCTGCTGCTATGAAAACAAGGCAGTGGAGATGTGACTGGGATGAGTAAACAGTTTCGCCTGATAAATGTTTGCTTCGTAAAAACCTGTATGTAGTGCTTAGAATATTAGTCTTTCTCCTTTCACTTTTCCCACAATACTTGGTATCTTTTATTTTTAAAAAAGACTTAAACATTAGCCAAGCGTGGTTGTGCACGACTCTAGTTTTGGCTACTTGTGAGACTTAGGTGGGATGATTGCTTGAGCCCAAGAGTTCACGGCTGCAGTGAGCTATGATCACACCTGTGAATAGCCACTGAACTTCAACCTGGGTGACAGTGAGAACCCATCTCAAACAGACAAACAACTAAAGGAAACCCAGCAATAACTTTGACATTTGTTCATTCTGGGTGATGGATCCACTGATGTTTATTATAATATGGTGGTACTAACATTTTTTTAAAAAAATTTTTTTTGAGATGGCGTCTCACTCTGTCACCCAGGCTGGAGTGCAATGGGACAATATCAGCTCACTGGAACCTCCGCCTCCTGGGTTCAAGCGATTCTCCTGCCTCAGCCTCCGGAGTAGCTGGGATTATAGGCGCACGCCACCACGCCCAGCTAATTTTTGTATTTTTAGTAGAGACAGAGTTTCACCATATTGGCCAGGCTGGTCTCGAACTCCTGACCTCGTGATCCACCCACCTCCACCTCCCAAAGTGCTGGGATTACAGGCATGAGCCACGCACCTGGCTTCATTTAAGGTTTTTAAGATTGGGCCAGGGTCATGGTGCCACCTTGTGGCCATACTCTTATTATCTTGAACTTTAATTTTTTTTTTTTTCTTTTTTAGTGACGAGTCTCGCTCTGTGGCCCAGGTTGGAGGCAGTGATGCTATCATAGCTCACTTTAACCCCGCGTTCCTCTGTTCAAGCTATCTTCCCCAAGTGGCTAGGACTAGAGGTGTGCACTACCACACCCAGCTACATTTTTTGTTTTTTTGTAGAGACAAGGTCTTCTCGTATTGCCCAGGCTGGTCTCAAACTCCTGGCCTCAAGTGATCCTGTGATCCTCCTGTCTCAGCCTCTCAAAGCACTAGAGTTACAGGCATGAGCCCCACACCTCGCTGAGACCTTTACAAACGCTTCATATGTGTGCTCCTATAACTGTCATTTGGGTCATGAAATAATGAAGTCCTAGACCTCTTAACATTTCAGGGTAAAGAGGGACTTTTTTTTTTTTTTTTTTTTTTTTTCTGAGACAGTCTCACTCTGTCACCCAGGCTAGAGTGCAGTGGTGTGATCTTGGCTCACTGCAACCTCCACCTCCAGGATTCAAGCGATTCTCCTGCCTCAGCCTCTGGAGTAGCTGGGAATACAGACGCTTGCCACCATGCCCTGCTAATTTTTTTTTGTATTTTTAGTAGAGACAGGGTTTCACTGTGTTAGCCAGGCTGGTCTCAAACTTCTGACCTCATGATCCACCTGCCTCAGCCTCCCAAAGTGCTGGGATTACAGGCATGAGCCACTGTGCCTGGCCAAGAGGGACTTTCAAGAATCCTCAGCTTTCGCTTGATTACTTCTAGCCAGGAGGGGTTCCTGCCCAGAGGAGATAGCAGGTGTCACTATGGAACAGCTGTTTTAAGGAGTCGTCAGCTCCAGACATCCATGCCTGTCAGTACACAGAGAACTGGGGCAAGCTCCTCATGACACAGAGAGAGAAATCGAGGCCCCCAAGGAAGTTGCCTGGCCTGACCAAAGCTGCTCTGTGCCAGGAGGCAATGACCAACTGGGTAAACTTCCTGAAGGCAGGGACCTGTCTGTCCGGTTCACAGCTGGATCGCTGGCATGTATTAGGCTTTCAATAAATATCTGATCAATTAATGAATAAATGTACAAAACTATCAGCGTGACCGCCTGCAGCATGGGCCAATCATTCATTCTCAGTCATAATAACAGCCGACATCCACTGAGGTCTTACTAAGGCCAGGCGTGTTCCAAGCTCTGCATGTGTGTTGACTCGTAATGTTCACTGCGACCCTAAGAGTGAGAGGAGTATGACTATTATTCCCCATTTTGCACATAGGAAACCTGAGCCTCGGAGATCTTATGTGACTCGCTCAAGTCTGTAATCAGGAAGTGATCCAGCTAGGATTTGAACCCAAGCAGACTCGATCTCCTCAAAGGCTGGGAGCAGAGGAAGAAAACCAGCTGAAAGCTGGCTCCATACAGGAAAAGTGGAAAGAGAAGGGTCTGCGTTGCTGTCTGTGCTGCTATCAGTACTAATCCCTTGGAAAGACTTGGTCCCCCCTCATTGGGAGAGGATGCAATACCCTCCATCCCCGAAAGCTGGCACGACTAGGGACGCTTCTCAATTGATGTCTCTCAAGCCAGGCTCCTCCCTCTCGCTGGGTTCCCACATCCAATCAGCAGCGCCTCTCACAGCCCCACCTCTCCAACCCCATTTAACGACCTCACCGGCCCCATCCTCTGCCGCCTGCACACTTGCAGTCACCCCTGATGGCCTCAACATCTCCCTCCAACCCAGCTTAGTCTCTTGAAACCCAGCTTTGCACAGACACCTCCAGGGTGCCTCAGTGCAAAGGGAATGAAGTCTGAACTCTGGCTGGCATTCCTGGCTGCACCAGCCAGACCAACCCACCTTCCTATTTCCAACAGACCCTTTTAAGTTGCCCTGCCCTGCCCTGCCCTGCCCTCCCCTCCTACCCTTCCCCTGCCCCTTCCTTTCCTTTTTTTTTTTTTTTTTTTTTTTTTTTTTTTTTTTTTGACAGGGTCTCACTTTATTACCCAGGCTAGAGTGCAGTGACATGAACATGACCCACTGCAGCCTCAACCTCCAGGGATCAAGCAAACCTCCCACCTCAACTTCCCATGTAGCTGGGACTGCAGACACATGCCACCACACCTGGCTAATTTTTTTCATTTTTTATAGAGACAGGATCTCACTTTTTGTTGCTCAGGCAATACTCCTGCATTGGCCTCTCAAAGTGCTGGGGTTACAGGCACGAGCCACAGCATCCAGCCCTTATTTCTTTTATGTACCTATGAATGTATACCCAGCTTTGTTCCAGACACACGACGGAGGCAGGTCCTGCCCAAGACTGTGCTGCCATTAGGTGTGGTGTGACGCCAGGAATCAAGGGAACTGTGAGCTTATATGAGTCACCTGTGCTTCCAGAGCCCTCATTTCCCACCCTGTAGAACAAATGAGGGCCGGGGGTGGTGTAATCCCAGCACTTTGGGAGGCCAAGGTGGACAGATCACATGAGAACAAGAGTTTGAGACCAGCCTGGCCAACATGGTGAAACCCTGTGTCTACTAAAAATACAAAAATTGGCTGGGCCTGGTGGCAGGTGCCTGTAATCCCAGCTATTTGAAGGCTGAAGCAGGAGAATCGCTTGCACACAGGAGGCAGAGGTTGCAGTGAGCCGAGATCAAGCCACTGCACTCCAGCGAGACTCTGTCTCAAAAAAAATAAACAAATGTGAAATGTCCTACGATGGACTTGCTGAATGATAAATGAGTGCTGGTGTCCCCAAGCTTGGTGTGGGCACTGGACCGATGCCTGGGTTCAAGTCCTGTTGGTGACATTTCTTCAACACATGACTCTGGGAAAATTGCCAGCGTCTGCACCTCAGATGCTTGATCTATAAAATGAGGACAATATCCACATCACTAGGAGGTGGTTGGACTGGGTGAGGACCCAGCACAGGAACCAGCTTTATATATTAATTTGTAACCCAGACTTTTTTTTAATCTTTAAAAAAAAAAGAAAAAATTTTTAAGACAGGGTTTCACCATGTTGGCCAGGCTGGTCTTGAACTCCTGACCTCAAGTGATCCACCCGCCCTGGCCTCCCAAAGTGCTGAGACTACAGGCGTGAGCCAGCGCGCCCGGCCCTGTAAAACCAATCCTTTTGTCCATTTCCCCAACTCCCAGGGCCCAGGCAGGCCAAGCCCAGGCGAGGGCTGATGCTACGCCATTGTGTGGGTGAAGAGAGATGGCACGAGGCAAGCCCAGGAGACAGGTCAAAATCCACCAAGTCTGGTTCTGGAGGCCCACCCAAGGTGTATGTGAGGCCAGAAACTGGCACCCTAGGAAAGCGGCAGGAGCTAAGGAGACGGAGGATCGGGGGCCAGGGTACACAGGGCAGGACGGGGACAGGGCGACCAGGATGCAGAGACAAGTGCTGCAGGGGCTGGCAGGTCTGCTCAGCATCCCCTGCCTGGGCCCAGGCCCCGCTCCCCCGGGCCTCACGGCCAGCACCTGCAGAAAACCTGCATCGGCAGAGCCGGTCAGTAAGCAGGAGAACACGGGCGTTGAAGGAATTTATTCATGAGAAGACTGAGGGTCCGTCAGGGAGACTGTCCAATGGTGACAAGCTCCAGAAGCCCGGGTCGCAACAGCCGGGAGGGCCGGGACACCCCAGGCAGGAGGCGGTGGGCTGGCACAGAAGAGCAGACGCAGGCAGTTCTGGGCACAGAGGGGCTTTCTTCACGGCCTGTCTGCCCTGCCCCTCCCCGCAGGTCCCCACCCATCTAGGGTTAAAGTGCAGCTGGGAGGCAGGAGGCGGGCAGAACTGGGGAGCTAGAGAGAGCCCGAGTGAACCCTGGCCGTCCACGAAAGCTGGCCATCGTCCTCGTCCTGGAGTTCCTCGAGGCTCAGCCCAAGCCCAACCTACCCAGGGCCTCTGGAACCTTGGGGCAAGGGAAGTAACCCCTCACTCTCATACCCATCCGATATTTAGAAAGAGCATCCCTGGGAGAGGGGGGCCTAAAACTTGGGGGACAGTGGGGATGCACTAACGTTTCTAACAGGGAGAGGAAGGGGATACGCATCTTCAGGGATTGTCTGGGGGGTCATCCCCCTCCCTCTGGCCTTGGAAGACTCCTTCCTCTCCTCTCCCTCCCCCACCAGGCAAGCCAAGGAAGCCAGAGAAAGGCCCAGAGAGCCTGGCACCCAGCTCCAGCACCGTAAGTCAGCAGGGTCCTGCCCAGGCCTGACTCCCAAACCCCTCCGCTGAGGAAGGGCCACTTCAGTGCCATTGGGGCCGTGCTTCTCTGGGGATGGGGAGTGGGGTGAGCGGCCTTGGGGGAAGCCCGTGGGGCTGGACCCTCCTGTTTCTGCCAGCGATCTTTCTAGCCCAGCCCCTCCCTCAAGGCTGAGGCTTGCAAGATGCTCACCCTAGGCCCCGAACCTCAGCAGGACCATCTGCACCCCCACACACCTTACCCTGGTTCATGCCATCTTGGATGGCCTTCCCCCGACTCAGCGGCTCAGCCAACTTCCTCCCTCTCCCACAGGTTCATCTCTAGAAGCCAGACAGGAAGAGACACCCCCAAAAAAGAGCCCTGAAGACCTCTGCTTCCTCCCCCCACTCTTGAATATATTAAATTGTGCAGCTTGCCTCCAACCCCTCCCCTTCAGATCTCCACGGCAACCAGGCAGCATTCCAAGTCCGAGTCTGAATCCAAGTCCATCCAGTGCCAAAGGGGGGCTTCAGCCTCTCCCCGGACTCCTCCCCGGAAGGTGAGACCCAACACTCCACAGGGGGATGAGAGGGGAGGAAGAGTCGGGGGGCCTCAGTCCTCAGCCCCCTCTTCCTCCGTGTGGGGGGCCCGAGGGGGGTCCTCGGGCTCAGGGGTCTGCCCGCCAGGGTGGGGGTGGGGATGGGGGTGAGGGTGGGCACCGGGCTGGGAGCCCAGCCCATCCTCGCCCTGCACATAGACACTCAGCCCCTCGTGACTGGGCTCCTTGCCGCAGGCCTGGCAGCTACAGTGCAGGATCTTCTCCACCAACTTGTCCACCCTGGGCACCTCCTCGTGGCCTGGGCACTCCAGCGTCACCTGCAGAGGGAAAGAAAGAAGAGCAGGGATGCTTCCAGAGGCCTGGGGAGGAAGCCCCTAGGGTAATACCTCCTCATGGGACCAAGAACCCCAGAGCCCACCTGTGATGCCCCAGTTAGCTCCAGGGTCCCATGGGGAGGGGGAAATTGAACCATGCACAAGCCACCAGAGTTGTCTCCTCACATCAGACCTGCTACCTTCCCACCCAGTCCCCACCAGCAGCCACAGGGAAATCCAGTGTGGCCCACCCCTGCGAAAATCCCCTCACTGTCCCCATCCCCCTGCACTTGGAGACAAACCCTGACCCCTCACTAAGGCCACCCAGGGCCTTCGGGTGCTGCCGGCTGGCTGGCCTCCCGACCCCTGGCCCTGTGCCACTCTCAACCATTCTGTGCTTTAGCTCTGCCTCAGGGCTTTGCACATGCTGTTCCTTTGCCTGGAAGGAACCCACCCCACTACCACCTGCCCCCAACTGTGCCTTTGAATCTGAGCTCAGACTTTACCTCCTCAAAAGAGCCCCACCCCAGAGCCCCAGCCCAGCTGAGCATCGCGCTACAGGAACCCCATCTGCCTCTTACTCTGCCCCTATCATCACCCACCTAAGTACCTTCTTTCCTTCTCCCTCCGTTCTTCTCTTCCTCCCTCCCTTCCACAGAGTGCCTACCCTGTGCCAGCTCTGAGGACACAGAGACACATTTCCCCCAAGGAAATCAGAGTCTAGCAGGGCAGAGAGACCTGTCAAAATCACCCGAATGCAGGTGGAAGACTGCAGATGTGACAGGTGCTTAAAGCGGAGGCACGCTGTGCTCTGAGAGCCAACGGTGCAGGGGTGTGACCCAGTCAGGGGGCCTGGAAAGGGGCCCTGAGCAAATGCTGCCTGGGACAAGAGCAGAACAGTGAATAGAAGTGAACTAGGTAAGGAGGAGGGGCAAGAAGGTGTTCCAAGCAGGGTAAAGGACAGGGGCAAGGGCCTTGGGGTACAAGTGAGCAAAGCAGGGGCAAGGGACTGAGCGGAGGCAGCTGTGTCAAGTGACAAGCTAGTGAGGAGGGCAGGAAGCAGGAGGAGGCTGGAAAGGCCACTGAGCCAGGCCATGCCAGGCTCTTGAGGCAGGGCAAAGACTTTGGTCTCATCCTGTAACAACAGGAAGCCCTTGAAAGAACTTCAGCCCATGAGAGGCATCAGAATGGAGCTTCGGGAAGATCCCTGTCCATGTACAAGTTGGTGTCAAACTTCTGAGCCATCCTGTGGGGGGCCCACGTCTGTACTCCCAGCCCTTTACCCTGCACACAGTGGAGCCTTGCTACACCACTGTGGCCACCTGCTGGAATGCAGAAGGCTGGGGAGAAAGGCCAAGGCCAGGGAAGGCTCTGGGCCAAGGCTGGGTGGGGCAAGCCGGCAGTACTCACAATCTCCCACATGGACTGGGCTGGCATGCAGGAGTCACAGTGAACCAGGGACTCTGTGGACTGTGGGAAGGTGTTGGGGACGCTGTAGCTGAAGCACTGTCCTAGGCACGCCCTGTGGGAGGAGAGGGCACCATGTGTGTCACTGTTGGGGAGGCAGGGATGGGCAGCCCTGGTCCCTCTTTCTCCCTCCTTGGGCCCCCATCCGCATCCCCCCACCTACCCCTTGGGTCCCACCTGTTCTGGATGGACTTGGCCTCACAGCCACTGTGTCCCACGATCTGGGTGATGTTCTTGGCTTCGCACCAGGCACTCTTGTCCGGGAACAGTGCCAGCTTGTTGATGGGCGGTGGGGCAGCCAGCAGCATGGCAGGGAGGACAGCCCCCACCAGGACCCGAAGCATCATGCCCGTGGCCTCCAGAGCCCTGGAACAGAGCACAGGTGCCACCTGAGGCACAGCAGGGCCCGGGGGACGGGGCTTGGCAGTGGTGTTACAGCACGGGCTCTGGCATCTGACTCCACGGCACAACCCCAGCCCTCCTACTTACTAACCAAGTACGACTTTGGACAAGTTATTTCTCCACTCTGAATCCTACAACTGGAGCTGGGAGTGGTACCTACATCAGATGGGTATCTGGAAGGTCAAAAGAGATATTAAATCAGCCTAGCAGATAGGCACATTCCCTATGTGTTTATTGGTTTTATAACCTCCTATGTTGCCTTGAGCAAGTTACTTTTTATCTTGGTGCCTTGGTTTCCTCATCTAAAAAGGGGAGATGGTGCCACTACACAGCGAAGGATTGCAGTCACGAAGTGTTCAAGCACGTGTCAAGTGTTGAACAACTGCTACCTTTCTCCCTTTGACCCTGTGGGTCATCCAGGAAAACGCACAAAAAGTCATCCACACAGCCCTCGAGGGGCTGGCCACACACCACGTCTCCTGGAAAGCTGCTGCAACGGCTGTCAGGATTCTGACGTTTGAAAAGTTAGCCTTAACTTTTGCATTGCTGTGATTTTTGTTTTTGTTTTTTGAGAAAAGATCTCACTCGGTCACCCAGGCTGGAATGCGGTGGCATGATCATGGCTCACTGCAGTCTCGACTTCCCTGGCTCAGGTGATCCTCCCAACTCAGCCTCTCGGGTAGCTGGGAATACAGGTGTCCACCACCGTGCCCGGCTAATTTTTGTAAAGACAGATTTCACTATGTTGCCCAGGCTGGTCTCAAACTCCTGGGGCTCAAGTGATCTTCCTGCCTCAGCCTTCCAAAGTGCTGGGATTACAGGCGAGAGCCACCGCACCTGGCCTGCAGTGACTTCGTGGGCCACCCAGGCTGGCCAGAGCTCACGAAAAAAAAAAAAACTGACCCTGAACCAGACAGTATTGCTTGCTTGCTTTTTTTTTTTTTTTTTTTTTTTGAGACAGAGTCTCACTCTGTCGCCAGGTGCCAGGCTGGAGTGCAGTGGCACAATCTCGGCTCACTGCAACCTCTGCCTCCCAGGTTCAAGCAATTCTCCTGCCTCAGCCTCCCTAGCAGCTGGGACTACAGGCACGTGCCACCACGCCCAGCTAATTTTTGTATTTTTAGTAGAGACGGGGTTTCACCATGTTGGCCAGGATGGTCTCAATCTCTTGACCTCGTGATCTGCCCACCTCGGCCTCCCAAAAGTGTTGGGATTACAGGCGTGAGCCACCACGCCCGGCCAGTATTGCTTGCTAAGATGCCTCACCAGAAACTCGAATCCACAAGTCCACGCAGATCACTACCCCCAGCCCCATCTGGAGTCAAGCGGGAGCCAATCAAAGCCAAGCACCTGGCTATTTGCAAATTGCCCCGCTACAGGATGGAGTGAGATACTAAAACAATACCAGGATCTGCCAAAAGGTGGTGCTGCAGGGCAGTGTGTGTCAAAGGATTCTGCTTGGAGACACGCCAGCGAGTTTCACCCACTGCAAAAAGCACAGGGGAGGGAGGCTTCAGAGAGATTCAGAGATGAGGGTAGTCCCTTCTTTGAGGAGACCCCCTAACCCACAGAGGACAGGAGAGTGGAGAAGGGGCATGTATCCACATGTGCCTGTGACCGGGACACTCAGGCCTGTTTCCTCACAACCTTAAAGTGAGTACAGTGACCCAGCCCATGGTTCCCAAACATGGCAAATGATCAGAATTCCCTGGGGATTCCTGGACTAAAAGTTTTAGGGTGGGGAGGAGTCTGCATTTCGATCAGGCTTCCTCAGCAGCTCTGTACTCGGTCAAGCATTCTTTATTTAGGGACAGTCCCTGTAAAAGATAAAGTAAGGCTGAATCAGGAGGGATAGGTCCTGGTCCCACTGGCTCCATAAAAGCCCAGCACCAGGAGTCAGGTGGCTTGGGACTGGGCATCCCATTGAGGACAATCCTACTATGGACCGTGGGGATGGCAGAGCCAGGTAGTTTATTATTTTATTTTTATTTATTCATCTATTTTTTTTTTTTTTTTTTTAGACAGATCTCACTCTGTCACCCAGGCTGGGGTGCAGTGATGTGATCTAGGCTCACTGCAAACTCCGCCTCCAGGTGCAAACGATTCTGCTGCCTCAGCCTCCAGAGTAGCTGGAATTACAGGCACTCATCACCACATCCAGCTAACTTTTGTATTTTTAGTAAATATGGGGTTTCACCATGTTGGCCAGGCTGATCTGGAACTCCTGACCTCAAGTGATCTGCCCACCTCAGCCTCCGAAAGTGCTGGGATTACAAGTGTGAGCCACTGCGCTGGGCCCAGGGCCAAGTACCTTATAACGTGTCTGGGGAGCAGGGGTCTCAAGGAGGGCTGGCTGGGCATGGCTCCTGCAAGGGCTGTAACCACCCCCCTGGCACTCTGCTCCCCATCCAGCATGCTCCCCCAGCTCCTGCCCCTCTCCTGCAGGTCTCCATCTCAGGGGACCCCAATGCTGGGATGAGCCCCACTCCCAGCCCCCTGGGGAGGAAGGGCAGCTGGAAGTGAGGCTGGACAGGCTGCCCCACCACACACCATCCCAGATGAGTTCCTGTCACAAGGCTCTCACCCACGCATTTCCGGTCTCACTGACAAAGCCCATGTTTCCAGTACAACCACATCCTAACAAAATAGAATGGATTCCTTCCTAACTGGCAACCTGATGAATTTTTCAACAAGCCTGGCATGCAGGAGGCTTCCTGAGTCCTGAGTCAGGGTCTACCCACAGCATACCTGAAAGGCCCTGCAGGTCCCTTTAAGGCCAGGACTCCCTGGGTCCTCTCTGGGCTGGACTGGCCCCCTAGGCCCTTGGAGAGGTCCAGGGACTCTTGTCCTCCTGAATCTGACCCCACCTTGCTTCCTCAGGAACAATGGGTCACAGGACGCAAGGAGGTGCCTAGGGCAGGAAGTGCTGTGGATGTGGAATTGGGACTGGGGTTGTAATGAAAGTAGCCTGGGCCAGGCATCATGGCTCACACTTGTAATCTCAACACTTTGGGAGGCCAAAGCAGGAGGATTGCTTAAGCTCAGGAGCTCAAGACTAGCCTGGGCAGCAAAGTGAGACCTGGTCTCTAAAAAAAAATAAAATAAAATAGCCAGGCGTTGTGATGTGCACCTGTAGCCCAGCTATGTGGGAGGCTGAGACGGGAGGAAGGCTTGAGACCAGGAGCTTGAGGCTGCAGTGAGCCGTGACTGTGCCCCTGCACTCCAGGCTGGGTGACAGAGCAAGAACCTGTGGAAAGGGAAAGGGGGGGGGGGGGAAGGACAGGAAAGAAAAGAGAAAGGAAGGGAGGAAAGCAGAAAGGGAGGATCCAACAGAGGGAGGGAGGTCGGGATGAGCACCCGGAACGAGGAGAGGTCACAACTGGGGCTGTGGGTCAGGACCAGGCTGAAGCGAGTGTTGAGACTGCAGCTGAGGCTAATGAAGGCTTACTGGGAGACGGAGTAAGGGGAATTTGGGGAGGAGGCCCAGAGACCAGGAACTGGTTATCAGGGTCAGGCTGGGGCAGAGATTAGGAGAAAATGAGATGAACTAAGGTGGAAGGTCCCTCCTTCCCTTCCACCCTTGCCAGTGCACAGCTGAGTGCACCACAGGGCCAGCTGTGCCCACAGAGGGGTGCAGTAACCCAACCCAACAGGCACTGGCAGGGCGCTGGGGCCACGGCCTCCCCGGGCCAGCAGCGTGGAGCTCCAGCATTCTCTACGGGCACCGCCCCCCAACCAGAAGCGTGGACCCTGCAGTTCCCAATATTTGAACTGCAGCCCCCACCCCTTAAGAGCTGTGTGACTCCCAGAAATAAGTTCACTCCTCAGAACCAAGCTTTCTCAACCCTAATATGGGAGCATTGTGCCTTCCCTGGAGAAGCACTGGGAAGAGGAAATGAAGGTATTCAGCATCAAGGAGGCACCCACTAAGGTCCGCTCTCTAACCCCCAGAGCATCACAGGAAAGGCTGGGCCAGTATCAGAGCCAAGGCTGGGCCGGAACAGAAGACAGCGAGGACGCCAGGTGAAGTCTCTCCCACACGGCTGCCATCCAGACACGCCTACCTCCTCCAGCCCGCCTGCCCAGCCCCAAAGAGCCCAGGCTGCCCCCCACTGGTGGGGTGGGCTCTTAGCTAGCAGGTTCTCTTTTTTGTTGGTTTATGCTTTTTTGTTTTTTCACGCAGCAACTCAGCTATTTTCTTTTTTTTAAACAGCCATCCATCGTACTTTCCTTCCTGAGCCTTGAGAGCCTCACCCAGATTCTCAACCCTTCCTCCCACCCTAACGGTCACACAACAAGTCACAGGACTCCCCGAAAGCAAGGGCAGGAAGGGAAGTTGGAGATGTCCCAGGCCAAATCCCCCTGCTCTGCAAGGGAGCTGTCCCAAGGCCTCCGGCAAGTCAGGCAAAGCAATGCCCTGCCCTGGGCTGTTCAGCTCCCTGAAGTTCCATACTCACTCACTCACTTCTCGGAGGGCAGGGGTCGCTTCTAGGAGGGCAGGGAGCTGAGGCCCCAGACCCTATGCCCACCCGGGCACTCCCCTGAGGGGAGGTCCAGGGATGTGGGTAAACAGGAGGCAGTTGTTTTGAGTCGGGACAGTAAGAGATGGCTCTCAGGAGGAGAACAGAGATTCTTAACTCTGAATTAAATATAAGCGCAATTACAATCATGCGTCACTTAGCCATGGGGATGCACTCTGAGAAATGTACCATTAGGTGACTCTGTCGGTCTGTGAGCATCATAGAGTGGACTCAAACCTGAAGAGTCTAGCCTACTCATACCTAGGCTATTTGGCATAGCCTATTGCTCCTAGGCTACAAACCTGGACCACAGGTGACTGTACTGAACACTGCAGGCCACTGCAACACAATGGTGAGTGACATCTGAACATAGAAAATGTAGAGTAGGCTAAGCATGGTGACTCACACCTATAATCCCAGCACTTTGGGAGGCCAAGGTGGGAG